AGGCATGGGAAGACATGAACGTACATGCTTCCCGGCTCTTTCGTAGGCAGAATCTGCAAGCCGTAAAACTGCATGTTCCTTTGATGCTTTCAAAAGCATGTTGGATGCCTGCCTACAGTCATGTGGTGCTGGTGAACTGTACCTAGAAGACTTTTGTCGTGGTACAGACCATCGATTGTAGCAACATTACAGTTCGATCCTCAGCTTCACTGAGGCACTAACATTCAGATATTGCCTGTAAAAATGTCATGTGCACGCGTACTTCATTAGTCGAAACAAATTATGATTACCGTCAGCTAACAGGGGAAGAAAGATTTCAACAAACAAATTTATTATCAAGGTTACGGGTTCGATCCCGGGCGGGGTCGTGGGTGCTCACTGCTGAGGAGTCCCATACTACTACGAAACAGTTGTCCAGTGCTCCCAGGTTTCCTCTGTTCCTCCAACTGATGTCAGCCTACGATGAACAACAACTTGAAATTTATTTTCGGCGGTCATTTTCAGTAGCTACATGTGGGCTAATAATATTTGTTTTCGCAGATTTCTGAAAGCCAGCACCAGAATCTCTGTCAAATGACGCAGGCACAGAAGCCATTTCTACAACACAAAACTTGGGGTGTACATTATTTCTGAGTCTGAATGCCCCATTGTTGCATCACGAATTATCTTCTCCACCACCGTGACCGCGATACCGGTGAGACTGATGAACTGACAACTGGCACCCAGTTTTCTATTGCTCTCCTCAGACACCATAGTTATGATTGCCTACCTTCAGTCTCTGAGACGCTGTGGCTGGGATAAAGACATGCTAAAAAACATAGTTAAGGGTACGTCAGCAATATCATGAAGTTATCTGCATTGATGCCGTGACTTTCAAGGCTTTTGGTTTCCTAGACGTTGGAGGACTGGTTACATTGTGATTTCACTAAGTTTCGCCGAAGGAACGTTAGAAAACGTGTCAGCATCCAGAATCCCACCAGACACGTCGACGGATCAGGCTGGGCTAAGACACTTGGGAAAGTGTGTGCTTTGGTTAGGCCTTCAAACTGGCCACATGGTACCAAGGCAGGGATAACCTCACTCCAGCCATACCTCAAACTAAGCGAACAAACACAGGACAGCCAGAACAACCACCCACCAACAAGCTTACGTAAGCTTTGCGGTGTGCACCGATGACAGGTCTACATTCATTTCTAAGCTTACAATATTTCAGTTTATATGCTTTACCATCTGTAACAAAGAACATATCCAGTAGGTGCTTTCCTTACCTTAATAACCTACAAGTCTGCCTACCAACCCAAGTTGGAATATGGGAAGGTTTCTGAGGAGTGTATCGAGGACCTAATGATGTTACACGACCTTATGTACTCGAAAACGCTTCCCATTACTTCTCTACTGAGCAACCTACACCAAGTTACCGTCAGACAAACTAGCGCTGGTTGATGCCCCCTCTCCACAAACGTTTGCGTGGGGAGAAACCGCGTCGTTTACCAAATCTTGTGTACCAGCCCTTACGATAGCCATAAAGCGATCACCATTGGCGTAGTCTTCACACTGACTTATGAAGACTAGGTCCTTAATTGATGGCCCACGAACTGATGCATAAATTGTAGGACACTTTGCACTATAAATGAATATACGCTCTAAAACAGTCGGCAGATTTCTGCCGAAGGGCCCAACTGGCCTATTGATAGTAGGCTTCTACTGGGTAAAGTAGGAGGCATCAAGGTCCCTTACAATCAGCCACCTATTGCTGCTGCCCCGCCCCCTGATATGGTCCGGAACAAGTCCTTCAGTGAGACCACCAAGACTACTGTGAGTCACTTCTATTACCACATCACCTCCCCAAAATTCTTGTTTACTTCTAACGGTTCCGCACGTGGCACTGCAGTGCACCCTAAGCAAGTCCACAGGTTCTCATGAAGACGTAATATAAGGCCACTAATCTCCGTGATGAACCCTCCGACATTGTCAGGACAGATAAAAAACTTGCTTTCGATAGATTAGGATAACGAGACACCGCTAGTGTCAATCACCTGACGGCAGCTTGAGTAGATAAAAATCCTTCCAGCTCTCCTGTGGCAACGTGGCCACAACCTTTGCTTCGGGAACAGTAGGCAGACCACGTTTTAGAGTATTTAGAACTCTTCCAACGAAGGTGTCACTAGCGGAAATAACGAAGCACCGTCTACTCACCCGTTCACTGGGTCAGATAATCAACAGATGTCACCACTTAGTTCCCTGAGTACCCAATAACTGAACAAATCTCCGACAACGTTTTTGATTGGTGTTCGCTCACGCATTTCTGCCCGTGTTTGTTTGTTTTTGACGATAAAAAACTACTCTGTGAAGCTCTGAAGGTGATGAAAGGGTGCAAAGAGGAACTTCGACACCCATTGTTCTCCAGAATCTTGTAAGTCGCCCCACATTTATGCCCCTTTCATAGTTCTACCCTTAGGCCTTTCGAACATGGGATTTCTCTCATTAAAATCACTTGAAATGCCGCTTATCGGGCGCAAGTTTGATAAATGTGATAGTGGTCGAATCACTCCTCCCTTTCTCCTACTGATCACCCTCAGCAAGTTTACTACTTTAGGTGAAGCTTCACTGTGGAAATGTAAACTGAGGCTTTGGGTCATTTTCTGCGAGAAGAACCGAGTCTGGACACGAAGTCCTGTCTCTTCACAGGTATACGTGGTTGCACTTGTTTCAGAGATCCTGACATCGCCCAACTCTTCTTTAATGTGGAAAGGTGACACATGTCCATCTAGCGGCTGCTTTTTAGGGCCAATGGTCACCGGTGTTCCAACAACTTTTAGGAGATAACCTGTTGTTCACCTCAGCGCCAAAAACTGGTAGCTTTAAATAAACAAACAAACATCCAATGCACTTAATTATCACAAAATACAACGAGAAAATTCATAAGACAAGACTTCAACTAAGACGTTTTCGGTTGGAAAGTAGGTTTTGACGTGCTTAACCCTACAAAAGCGAAGGGAACACAAAATATGAGAAATTCCGCACTGCTTTTCAAAGTGCGTGGTTGCTGATCGGTACCTCAGGTTTTCGAATGCAAAAGCTTATGGGTTAACAGAAGTCGTGATTTAAAAATGACTTGGAATTGTGATGCTATCGTAGCAAGGGCGTTCTGAGTGCTTCAGCTGCTTCGAATAACATTTAGGTGATTGATGACATGCGTTATCTCTCCATACTTCAAGAAACAAGATGGTATGGAAAATAGGGTCAACACCTAACTAGGGACAGGCACTGCTCACTTTTATCAGGAAGAGCAATAACTTTTTCCCTGATCTTGGCGCAAAAATGTGGCATAGTTCTAGCCTTTCTCTGTTTGAATACTAGCTTAGGTATTATTTTTCTAACCTCCTAAGTCCCTTTAGAGCTGGTTGTCACAGAGGTCAGAAAAAGTTATCCAAGGATCATGGTGAGACCGTACTTGAGTGGGGTTCCTCTTCCTCCTCAGAGGGGCCAACCGCTTGATCTCGTGGCGAGAACAAGTGATAGAAGCTCATTTAGTGACTGAATCCAAGGAAAATTTAATCCCATCTAGAAAATTGCTGCAAGGATCAGCCCGCAAAAGGGCAAACGATCTCTCGTCCTCACCTGATGGTCCACAACGTGATTGCACCACCATACTTCCAAAGGGATGCAGGATTCCTGTGGTAGTCCAGAGGCGAGCAACAAATAGCGTCCTGGGTTGCAGCAGAAGCCCTATGGGGACAGGCTGAAAGGCCTAGAGCTCTACTCTCTTGGCAACCGTAGATTACGGAGTGGCTTGATAACGGCTTATAAAATACTGAGTAATCCAAATCATCCGGACAGTTAAATCCTATCGACCGGTCACTGTGGCGCTCACCGTGTTAATGGAAAGGGCGGAAGCCCGTGCGTGTTAACACTTCTTCTCTCTGCAAGTATGCGGCCACTGAAATGTATAGCCTATTGTGATTGTTACTGCTCCATCTGTTGACAGCTTCTAGAGGAAGTTGGAAGGTTACGGAGCAACGCGATGTCCAGGCTCATACAACTGGGATATGTGCTAGATTGATGCAACCTACTAGCTCCACACAAATAAACACGGTCGACCCATCACCGAATTCTCTGTAACGCCACCATCATCACGAACCTGTCTCAACCCTACGCCTCCTAACAGATATCTCCTCCAGTTACCATCTCCAACTAAAGTATTACTATTTCTATTAACATGAGACGTCTTATAATCTTGCCTGCTTTGCGTCTCATCTCTGACTCTGTGTTTAGATACTGCTTATTATAAGTTCTTCCTGTCTCTCTTCTGCTACGAATCTACCTGGGTTTCTTCTTCCTTTCCCCTTCCTTTCACCTTATCGTTTTGACTCCTTTTCTTCGCGCTTCCCCTCCCCTGATTTCTCTGGACATCGATCTCCTTTTCAAAACCAGTCAAACCAACTGTCTGGTGACATGGCACTTGGAGAATCTATCTGCTTCGCAGTACTTGAAAAATCACGCAATCTCCACAAATTTAATCAACACCCAACCGCCCATGCGGCTAACCTGAGCTATAGCAGGCACGTGGGTAGACCTACTGTTTCGCAATCAGCTCAAAGCCTGGAACAGTCCCACAAGATCTAGAAAGGAGCTCAAAGAAATCAATTGGTTTGCACTAACTCGTTAAAAGGTAATGGATAAAGTCAGCGTTTTTCCGCGCTTGTTCTGATCTGAAGGTCAGTAGGATGCAGCAGCTTTTTAGGAGGACATGGGTTTCGGCGCTCACACTGCCATTTAGTTTCAGATGTTTCTCATCGAATAATGTAATTAGTTTCTTGTTCTTATGCTGTTCAGAATGTTGCAGACCTATCTAAAATCGTAACATTGGTATATCAGCTCACATTGACAGCGGAAAGACTACACTTTCAGAAAGAATACTGTTTTATACCAACCGAATCAATGAAATGCATGAGGTTAGTGCTGGCCAATCATATTCTATCGGTGTTTTCTAAAGTTTTGTCAGCACTGTCAGTGCACATCTTAAATAATTGTTTTGACCTACATCTCTTTTTACTGTTTAGTACAGTTTTCAGTTATAAGGATAGTAGGCCAGTTGGCCTGTGTTAATCCTTGCAGAAGATATCTCTTTGGAGATCCAGTTTCTCCTTGAGCATGACAGAAGGTGCTGATACTACTTGCTGACGTAAGGAGTTGCAGCCGTTGACTACACGATGGGAGAAATGCAGATTCACGCTAAGTTGATTCGAACGTGGTTTAAATTTTCTTGTGATACCCTCGAAGGTAGTCCTAGCAGGGAAATAATAGGACACATCAGTACTGAAGTCATTATTAAGAATACGAAATGCCAGTATGAGATCACCTTGTTTCCTACGGTAAGACAGTGGGAATAAGTTCAGCTAATCTAGTCGTTCCTCATAGGACAGATTCGAAAGGCCTGCCACAAGCTTAGTACCTACCCTTTGAACACACTGGGGTGCGTCGGCATCCTTTTTGGGAAATACGCCAGCCACCTGAATGCAGTATTCCAAGTGAGGTGCGACGTGAGTGGAATAGAGTACTCTGAAGATGCCCTAAAAGCCTTGAAAGCTCTGTGGATGGATCATAATGTGCAGAAGCCGTTTGCTGCAGCTGCATTACACTTCGCTGAGGTTTTTAAATCATGAATAATGATGACACTTAGGTCTTACAGTTCATGACTGGGAGTGGTGGTCTACCATCAACGGAATACTGAAAACAATCGCTGTGACGTTTGTGGATTGTTGCACTTTTGTTAGAGTTGATTTCCAGGCACCAGAGTTTGGACCAATCTACTAGTTCATTTAAATCTGCTTGAAGTGTATACCTATCCGCATCACTGCGTATGACTCTCCAAATCTTCACATCATCGGCGAATAGCACTGCCGAAGAGTTGGGCATTTTTGGTAATTCGTCGATGCACAACAGGAAAAGTAGTGGACCTAGGATTGTTCCTTGACGAACTCCACTTATCACAGGTCCCCCCCAGACAGTATCCCATTTACCCTTACTCTTCGCCTTCTATCGTACAGAAAGTTCATGATCTATGCTTGCAACGAAGCACGAAACCCGAAAGAGGAGAGCTTTCCTAGTAATTTCATATGTGACACTTTGTCGAATGCCTTACTGAAGTCTATAAACACGGTATCTATTGACGGCTTGCAATCACTGACTGCAACCCATTCCTCTCGAGATAAGGTTAGTTAAACAGGAGTGTCCAGTACGAAAACCGTGTTTTTGTGGTGCCAAAAGACTAGTTGATTCAACATGTTTAAATACCTATCATGCATTACTTTTACAAAAACCTGTATAACTATGCTAGTTAGACTCACAGAGCGACAGTGAGCCGTCAACTGGCAACTACCAGTCCTAAAAAGTAGACCGATTATGGCATATTTCTAGTATCTAGGACGGCAGGTCTAAGACAGGGACATATTGAAAGGATCATTGGCTGACTCAGCCATTATGTCTGCTAGCGAAGATAGCACTTTGAGATGCAACTCGTCGGGACCTGGGGATTTTCCAGGTTTGAGATTATGAGTAACTGTGAGACTGTTTCCTTTGTTACGAACACTGCATCCATTAGTGGGGCAGTGCTGACACCACTAGTGAGCATTCCGTTATCATGGTCTACAGAGAAGACTTCACTGAAGTAGTCCGATAGACCTTCAGCTTTGGACAGATTTGGTTCCGTCAAACTATCGAACTCCTCATCCGCGGCCAGAGAGGAAACTCCACACTTTCCTTTAGTCCTCCTTCTGACGAATGCGAACAGTCTTTTAGGATAATTTTGGCAGTGTCTCACAAGGTGTTTCTCGTAGGACATTGGAGACTGCAATCAAAGTTTTGCAGAGATTACGGACTTTACAGTATCCAGTCTTGAATGTTTTCAGTCCAGTTTCTAGAAGCAAGTCCCATAAAGGTTTCCTCCGCCTTTCTGAGTTTCTTTATTAAACCACGGAGGGGTGTGTGAGGATCGTCATGGAGTCGATATGGAATAAATAGCGTCGTTGCTTCTTCAAATAGAGTCCTAAGCCTATTCCATGCGTTCTAAATTGATGAGTCCTTGTCGACAGTCCAATCCTACTGATTGCGAAATCCCTCATACTTGAAATGTTTGTGCGCCATACATTAGGTCTAGGGAAAGCAGTGTCATAACCAAACTCAGTCCGAAAACCGAAGGTTAGCACTACATGGTCGCTGTTAGCTAATGGAGGGACGTGTCGTAGATTCAAAATGTCTTTTAATTGGTGGGTTAAAACTAAATCTGATAACGATGGCTTGTGTTCAAAATCGTAGCGTGTTGCCAGTGTTACGTTTTGAACTAAAGCAGATTCTAATACTATCAAAAAGAAGTCATTTTCGATGCCTGATGCTGAGACTGTTAGCTCCGTCCAGTATGTGTGTGGAGCATTCAGATCCTCAACTACTATACATCTGTTGCTTTACTCCAGTTACGTATATGGGTTAACACGAAGCCATTTGCAAGGCAAGATGGACTACGGTAAATCACCCCGATAGTACAGTAAACTTTCTTTGACTTCAGCTCGCCACTGGCCACTTCACAGGTCCCGCATTCATGTGCTTCGGACGTGACTGATCATATGTGGTTGTCCTCCCGGGCATAGATGAGTATGCCGCCATCTTTGCGACCCACAACCCTATCTGTCCTTACACAGTAATACCCTGTGAGGAGTGGCGTAAAATCTAAATCCTTTATTAGCCATGTTTCAGTAGGGGCTACTACATCAGGACATAGTTCTCAGAATCAAGTCTCGAGGTCTGTCATTGTACTTCTGATATTGCGAACATTAGTGTAGATTACGTTCACTGTGTTGGAAGAATTCCATGACCCACCCGTACAGACTTTGGAAGCATTCGCTTCCAAAACCTCACAACCCGAAAACCCACTATTTTAAGATCGTTTTCCCATTAGTTTATCGAGCCTTAAGTTCGGCGACAGCTTCTCTTCTTTTTGTGCGGTCTGCGAGGGGCCATTCAGGTCGGATGCTTTCACTAATGCATCACATCTCAACTAAATGCTGATGGTATGAGTATGCCCAGTACTGTCACCCCTTGTGGACTCTAATTGCACATTGGTTGAGAAGGTTTAGCAAACTGGGAGTGTTCTACCATTTTGGAATGGATCTACTGTTGTATCCATCTTATTTTAAAGATGGATACTATGTGTTCACATTGTACTTAATGAGTCTTCTACTAGTAGTGTCTGAAATATTGGCCACCATTTCACTTATCAGGCTCTGCAAAACGCGAGAAAAGCTGATCCATGAGAGTCGGGTCGAGTTTCATTCAGATCTTGAATGTACTGACCACGTGTTCTTCCTGTGGCAGGTACTCGGAAATGGTAAAACGCAATATAGTCCAGCAATTGTTGTTATTCTTGATATCAAAACTGTGCTCTGGAGCTCTCTTAAAGTTGTTTGTGAGGAGTTTCTTAACAATTTTAGGGCCCTAGGCAAAACATCTTGTATGTACTGAGGGCATACAGTAACTTCTATTTTTTTAAATCTGGCATCAGTTAGGCAGAATTGTCCGATGTCGCCGCTCCTCTTAAACTTTGCGATCGACTACACTCTTGACATAGCTGTGAAGAAGGTGCGTGGTGGTTATGTAGACATGTTACCAGGTGGAAGGCTTTTCAGCGTTGAGTATGTGTCCTATGTTGTTCAGTTGTGAAACAACATACAAGCTAATCGGATTGCACTTAATTAGTTGACAGTCCGTGTGTTCATAGGTGATTTGTGGTGTCTTTTTGCAATCTCTGCTTACATGCCCGCTGACTGTAGTTCGGATGGAGTGGTCGAAATACACTCTGCAACCTTGTGCACATTCGTGCAGTAGGCAGTGGTTCACAGCTATTGTGCGAGGGCTATTGATACTACCTAGCTGTCCGAACCTCAGTAGGTGGGGCTTGGTTCGAACCCGTGACCCATTGGTTGAAACTCAACTCCCAAAACCAGTGAGCCACAGCTTTACAGGGTGAATTGAAGGATGGATTCTACAAAAATTTATCTAGCTTTCTCCTGACAGCCAAGCGTTCATATGTTGTCGGAGATATAATATATCAATATGGGTAGCTTTTGATCTACGCTTTTTACCCTAGCCTCTGCGAGCTGGGAACGTCTATCGACTCTGCGTGTTTGATCACCCATTACTCCGTAGGATTGTTAGTATCCGGTGAAGACATCATAAATGTAATTCTGAGGTGGAGTAGCATTTGTTTGGGTGCAATTTTGAACATCATTGCGTGGAGTCATCTTTAAACACCGGGTTGAACATGTTATACGAATGCCGTTGGAGTTGTTGGTCCAGTTATGAGAAGTGGGGACATGGTCAGTGTATAGTGTTTCGATGCGGGATGAAGTGTATTTGTTTGGATTAGCACTAGTTGGTGCCTCACAACAACCTGAATCGGGTTTAAGCGATCATGCTCCTCAGTGGCTTAAAATGACAGATGTAGTTCAGCGTCGAAACCAGTAACAGTCATACTGTAGCTCCTTGTTTCTTTCTTTATAGGAAAATAAAACGAAAGTAGTGAATTCTTCTTTGGATAAATGAGTGTCATTGTAGGACTTCTGTTTATTTTGCTTTCTAGAGATATCTTTTTGGCGACAATTTAGTCTCTCTAGAGTTTCCCAAAGCATTGTCGTTTTCGACTCTATGGACTAGACGTTGACAGGCTTATTCATATCTTGTGGTCTCATTGTTCCTTCTCTAGTTAGGGGTGTGCTGAAACTCTCTTTGTAGTATCTTTGAGCTTCATTACGCGGTTCAAAGTAACTAGGCTTCTTAGCTCGTATATTCTGAGTGGAAGGCTACTCTTGTTTCAATTAACTTTATAACACTTGTTTGACTCGTATTACCTACGTGTTTGCGTGACACAGCCCGAACTCAGTAATAGAGAAATCAAAAAAATTTCAGCCGTATAAATATCGACCAGAGATAAGTTCCGAAGTTCTTAAAGTAGACAACCTGCTCGTTACACTTTTAAAATTATTTAACCCTTGACTTCCAATCGTAAGGTTTTGTAGTAGTGTTTTTAAATTCCATTACTAATTTACTTTATTGTGATGGTCTGTAGTCCCTGTAACTATTGTGATGAGTTCCTTTATCGATGGAATTAAATCATAAAAACTAAAATATCCCTCATGAACAAATAACCTTGAGCACGGAATAACTCTAGTTTGTGGTTCTTGGCATAAAAACTTATCTTGTTCGGGATCAGGTACCGTTCGCATGAATCATTTATTTTAAATTTTGTCATGTGTGCCAGGCACCCCTAGTTGATCTGTCAGCACCCCTCGTATCTCGTCCGTATGTCATTATATCGTTAGGTTTAATTGATATAACACCTCTACGATGTTGAAAGTATTGACACTGGACCTACTCTCAGCAGCTGTCACCTACAACGTTCATTTTAGTGTCGAGTTGCAGTAGGCGGATGTTATTTTTGTTAGTTACTGTTTGAACTGTAATCAGCTAAAGGCCTTAAGACGGATCACGAATAACGGTGATTAGTGGCTCAAGTTCATCTGTTGTTTGCTGGCTTTCATAGTTTAACTTCGTTATATCTCATTTTTTCTTGTTTTTCAATGTTTACTACAGTTTTGTCTGTAAAGGCAACACTTTTTCCAATTACTTGGGAATTGATTTCCTACGCAAAAACTTCCGTACACTTACAGTAAATGGATGATAGTCCTTGTAATTTTGCTTAAACAAAATGCAGTCTGAATGCGCGCCTGTATCCTTTGATACTGCTTAACTTGTTTTCAAAAAAGTCGTTCATCATATCTGTTGGTAATTAATTCCAAAATATAGGTCAAAGGAAAGGATGGAGTTGGTGCCGTAATGGATTCGATGGAACTGGAAAGGCTTCGTGGAATCACAATTCAGTCAGCCTCAACGTTTACTACTTGGAAAGATTGTACCATCAATCTCATTGATACCCCTGGCCATGTCGATTTTACAGTAGAAGTTGAAAGAGCTCTCCGAGTCCTTGATGGTGCAGTTCTTGTGTTGTGTGCTGTTGGTGGGGTTCAGTGCCAAACACTTACAGTAACTCGCCAAATGGAACGGTACAACATACCCCGACTCGCATTTATCAATAAACTAGATCGACAGGGAGCCGATCATGTTCGTGTTCTTAAGCAGATGAGGTAATCTAAAGAGTAGAGTTTTTTAGTCAGCTTTAGTTCGAGCAATCATATTTTTCCTATATTTTCATCAAGCTGAGGTCTTAGGAAAATGTTATACACCTCTGAGAACACTAAAATAGAGGTAATAATTGGGATTCGTTTCTATGCCTCACTTTCTGTATTATCATTGTGAAGGTAACGTTTTCGTTAATTGATGTATTTCATGTTAATTAACCTTGGGAGTATAGCATAAAAATTTTATCAACTAAATCATATGGATGGCGGAAAATGTAGATAATCTATTCGACATCAACTTTAGTGGATTACATAGTAAAGATAAATGTCTATTTTACACGACAATTATTGGTTGTACTACTGTAAAATTTTCGGGATCCCATCAAGGTTTAGTGTTGGCGATGAATAAGATTTATTACTTTCTCCCAGTAGTTTAGCGTGCATTTGGCCAAATTCTTCCACAGCCTAAATTTCTTTCTTAGTGTTTGCTTTCACATTGGATATCAGTGGCGTAATGGCATCGTCTTCATGCGATATACTTCGTGAGAATATGTGCTGGTGCTCTAGAGGTAATGTTCTTGTAGTGACATCGGATCATTGTGTTTCAGGCCAATATAAAGTTGGTATCTGACATTATTATAGAAAGAAACTGAAAACTTTTCTGAGGCACAACTATATTGTGGCACTCTACATAAGAATAAACACGTAGATTCGTTTTACTTAGATGGTTGTAAAACCCGCAGTATAATTCAGTTTTAGGCAGCTCTTCATAGGGAATTGTAAAGACTAGAAATGATGCAATCTATGACCATTTGTTGGTCTCGTTCATTACGCCTACACATTTAGTGTGACAAACAAATCGCTTATAAATAAATAAAACTGAAATTATACGTCTTTATGTAGTAAACATATGGAAGTGAACTGAGCGTAACATTTAGAATTACTGATTAGATGCGCGTTGGGTGAACAAAAATCAGTGGTTATAAATGAGAGCAAGGTTCATTGTAGACTACCTATGTACATCAAGAAAGTGGACTATGTTTCGGCAGAAAACCTTATGAGTATCATCAATAAAAATATACTACTTAGTTGCAATGTGAGAGTGGGAACTGGCACTGATGAAGCGTAATCCCAAATTGAATATGGTTATTTGATATAGCACACAATGATACAGTATTGAGTACTAAATGAAGTTTCAAGCATAAGTTATTGAAAACATGATAGTTCAACTAGACTTTGCGGAGTCTCAACAGTTTTGAGATGCCCGCTTTTCAGGGTATAATGGTCTGTAACAAGTTGATTCAAGTACACTATCTGAACACTACTATATGTTTATTTTCGTTTTTTTTCGCCGCATTTATATTACCTGTATTCAGTTCCAGTAGTAACCAACTATTGAGTTGTAGCATGAACCGTTGACATATTCCAGTACTCTGTATTTGTTTGGTTGACGGTTCGTTAGTCTTTCAATCGATGTTCGCGACATTCATCCTTTAAGGACTAGAGTAAGAGTTTAAAACTATTGCACTTATTTATTTTTGCATAATTAATTAGCATCTTCCTTCTTCACTAATTCTCTTATTTTAGCGAAGCACAACACAAATAGTTACTGCAGTCTTCTGGTATGATAAATTTAGAGTTTGTCTATAGTCTAGTCTTACTCTTTGTACCATTAAATGCCAGACTAGATAGCAACCTGACATTTCCTAGTCGTTTTAGTCAGTAGTTGAAGATCCGGGTGTGTGATTGAAGTTCCTCGCATAAAATGCTATATTCAACGTCACGGTCACTCACGTTTTAGTTCTACCTCATGCAAGTGAGGATGGATGCCCACCGATGATACCGAATGATAGTCACGCTATACCACAAATTGTAAGGTAGGGACAAGTGAACCGCTGGATTCCAACACAGGAGTTAAGTGGTAATGTGTTAACCATGAGATTTGATGATTTTGGTCTCGATCTCTTAATAAAGAAGAAAATCGAAATGTCATCGGCAACCACACATACACCCGCGCCGTAGATAATTAACCGCACCTGACTTCTGAAACCACGGTAGGTGGTTTTGGGCTCCAACCTGCGGCCTATTGGTTGAAAGTCAAGTGCATAGACCAGTGCACCACAGTCCGACATGTAGGTGCACATTACTGAGAAGCTTCAAACTAGGAAAGTTCAGCTATCTAATGCTCCCAGGTTTTCAGTAGTTCTCCAAATGATGTCAGTCTGTGATGAAAATCACTTTGAAATTAATTAATCCTTACAAAACACCAACTGAATTGGATAAGTAACAATTGTGATTTAGCAGGGAGGTAACACGTTCAAAAGGAGCAGCATCTTATCAACGCCTTCAGTTGATGGGATTATGCTGCTTGCATAGACTAGTTCCATTAGACAGCTGGCGGAAAAATACCTGAAAAACAATATATGGAAGAATTTATCTACAGGAAGACATTTTTGACAAGATTCAGTAATTTGGTAATAGATTTTTTACTAGATATATTGCCAAGTGCTGACCAAATTCTTTCGATCACTTTGCAATACGGCTACTAAGCCAAGAGATTCACTATCTTGATGTTCGTTAACTGGTTTTAGGTCGGCAGAAAGCAGAAGTCATTCACAGCCCGGATATTTTAGTGCTAAATTCCCTGGCTCCAGCATTGAGTGATTCAAGTTCGAATCTCTCAAGAGTCATAAGTTCCTCTGAAGTTAGAGGCACACCTTGCTGACAAGTACCGGGAAGCACAAAACTCAGGTCTAGCGCTTCCTGCTTATTGCTTCCAACTACCTAACACTCCTGTTTATTGCCTAGGACTTGGAATACTTTTGTTCGTAACCACGTGATACTCGTGGCATAAGTTGTGGATATTCAAATTCTGTTCTGTGTTAGATAACGCTTTCTTGCCACATGATAATTCCCCTTCATTGCTGTTCACTTAATATTCGGATTCAAGATGTATCTCCAAGGTATTTCTTTTTATGTTATAGATCAAAGCTGAATTTCAATTCAGCCCTTATTAATATTCCTATGAGTCAAGAATCAAAAAGTACAGGAATAATCGATTTGATTAGTGAGACGGCTGTTTATTTCGATGAACCATTTGGGTATGTTTAAGTTCATAGTTAGCTTTTTTATATTTCAAATTTTGTCGTTCTCTTTTTTCTCTCTATATTATTTTTATTTCTTATTATGAATTATCTTCTAGTTTAACTGTGACCTATTACTTAGGGCAACTGAATATTAGTCAATGCGCTGTAAATTCAAACTCTATGCTGACCTAAGGCGGCTTGAATAAGTACGTATTATCGTGAACCTTCACATTTGTTAAACAACAACCCTAACATACAAACTTGCAGCATAGCTTAGTACTACGTTAAGTTGCATTATCAGAGTAATCTATGTTATTTCCTTGCAACTAACAATATTGAAGATGTTCACCCCCAGTTTGAAAACGTAGAAGGTGCTAATACTAAATTTCCCTAAAGAAAGTTCTACTAGCGTATGATTGAAGCAAAAAGTGAACTTTGTGATTTGTCTGATAATAGTTTCTTTGATGGTCACTTTTATACTGGAGAATAAGTAGGATGTAATAGAAGTGGGATTTAAGATGGATTTTTGATTGAGGAACTGATCCCATTGTATGTCATTGTTGGAAGGTCCCAGTCTTTCATAAGATATCGTTTTTTAGCATAAGCATTTTTTTAAAATTGTCGTTTTCGCACCATTTGTTATAGCATGGCAGTAGTTAATTTTCTGTCCCCAATTTCAAGTTAATTCGGTAATTGGTTAATTCTTACTTTTACCATCAATACCCCTAACAAAGTAGGCGCGGGTCATGGTCTACTAGGGGAATGTGTATATTTTTTTTGAATTGCATTTCAACTTTCTTTTAGGTTCATTCACTCCTTTTTGTTTTTCTTACCTATTAGTTTAACTGTAAGGCAAGATGCTATCCCATCTTCTATGTTGGCGGAAACTAAGGAACGTAGAGCTGAATTTATTGGTGAGATTTTTGTGTTTTTTAAATATTAGTTCTTAGCTTGCCCTCTCCATATGCATTATTGTGTACTATTTCCTTTCTGTTAAAAAGTATAGTAGGTCAAATGTTTAATCACTTTTTGATTCCTGAACCTCCTCCAATACAATCAGAGCGAAACTCGTGTTTAGTAAACAAAAACGGTGTAATATGTTTTGCTAATTATAGGCATTTGAAACAATTAGTCCCTTTTATGAATTTAGATAATGTAATTAGAAGACGTAGATTATCTGAAAAATGTGATGTATTAGCGCTATACATTTCGAACAATCTGATCACACATTTAATCGTTAAGGCATTATATATGAAAACTGGAAGTGGGGGAAGGACACATATGACATAAAGGAATTCAATAATAAGAAAGATAATGAGAGGAATAAAAGATAAGACTTGAAGACAATCTTGGTAATACGATAAAATAAGCATTACCAAGGTAGGCTTAATGTAAGGACAAACTGTTTTTGCACACACAATGGGGGGTTAAATTTATTTATGGCTAGCGCCTCAACAAACTTAAGTATACGCCCCTGACAGTTTCTGTACAAAATTGTAAAGGCTGTTTTGATATCAATTCTGTGACTCTTATCAATGATATGTTTCGCAATGGATGATGATGGTTGTCTGCCATCTGCGCTTATCAATGTTTGTGAATCCAGCTGCTTTCGTAGCCACTTTGGAACATGTTCCCCTACCCTCAAGTGCATATCACGATTCGTCCTCCCTATGTATGTTTGTCCACACACACATGTAAATTTATAAACGCAGTGGGATGTGACACAATCGTTTATACAGCGTTGAGGTCTAGGTAGCAGCAGGTGTTTGGTCTTCTCAACTATGATAAGCTTAGCTGCATAGTACGTTTTGCTAACAGCAGACCTTAACCTTCGTTTTAATATTATGCTATTAGATTCTCCTCTGTATGGTAACGCGATGTAAACGCATTTCTTCGAAACAGAGTACAGATCAGGTTTGAATCCTCGCTGATTTTTGCAGCGGTTTATGAACTTCAATGGATATCCATTTTCCACTAATGTTTCCGTTAGTATTTTGATATCATCATCCATTGAGTCCTCCGTACAAATACGCTGGATCCTTTTAAATAGACAAGTTACCAAACCTCGCTTGTATTGGGTTGGACAAAAGCTATGGAAACTTAAATACTGACCTGTCCAAGTAGGTTTCCTGTAGATCGACCGTTTTATTGAACCATCATTTCTACGACTTAGGAGTATATCCAAGAATGGCAGACGGTTTTCTTTTTCTTCTTCACTTGTCAGGCTTATGTTGTTTTGTACGTTGTTAAGTCTTTCTAACAAACATGTCGCATCTTCATGCTTATCACATATCACGATTATATCATCAACATATCTTTTATAGAGAGTAACTTTATTGATGAGATCGCCGGTCAAGCCCTCAATGTGTGACATGTAAATATCAGCTAGCAATGGTCCTAGGGGACTTCCCATAGCCACACCATCTATTTGTCGAAAATGTTCACCTTCAAATGTGAAATGAACTTTATCAGTACACAATAATAACAGCTCTCTCAAACACGTTGAGGGGATAGGGAAAGAAGGATTACTGGAAGATATATGATCACAAAGAATGTCAATGGTTTTAATTAGGGGTACATTAGTAAATAAGGAGTTGACATCAAATGAATACAATCTCTTATCTTTGATATTAATATCACTGACATAATTAACAAGTTCAAAAGTATCTTTTAAAGAAAACTTACATAAATCATTTCGAATAGGAATTAGAGTTTTTGCTAACCATTTCGCCACTTTATGTGTAGGTGAACGGAACATGGAGAGTATAGGACGTAAAGGATTATCTGTTTTATGAATTTTAGGCAATCCATACAGATTAGGTAGCTCAGACCCCATTGGTTTGAGGGAAGCAAATTCTTCCTTGTTGATAACATTGATATTCAGGAGTTTTACTAGACTAGATGTTACTTTGCATTCTAATTTTCTAAGGTCGTCTGATGGAACATCAGCCATAAATTTACTTTCATCGCTTATTTTATCGCATTACCAAGATTGTCTTCAAATCTTATCTTTTATTCCTCTCATTATCTTTCTTATTATTGAATTCCTTTATGTCATATGTGTCCTTCCCCCACTTCCAGTTTTCATATATAAATTGCCTTAACAAGTAAATGTGTGATCAGATTGTTCGAAATGTACAGCGCTAATACATCACATTTTTCAGATAATCTACGTCTTCTAATTATATTATCCAAATTATAGGCATGTTTTTTCCTTTCATTTTCATATATAAATTGACTTGACAAGTAAATGCGTAATCAGGTGTTTTTTTACTGCCTAAACGATATTCTGTATTCCGTTTGTTTTAAATTTTTGGTGTTTTGGTGAACATGATTCACTTTTGACGCTATCAACACTGAGATCCTGTTATATCTAGCCGTGTGTTTTGGTGTAATCTGCAAGCTACCTTACTTCGGCCTGATATATATATATATATATATATATATATATATATATATATATATCTGTATACGAGACATGTAAACTGTCAAACTACTACCTTTGGATCAGTGCGTTATCCGGGCAAAATAAATCTACGTAGAGCTGCGTACAGAAGTGCATCGGTCCGAATTGTCACATTTTACCACAGCACACAATTGACGAATGGTTAGAAAAGGAGTAATGTCGAGGTAGGCAAACGTAAACGTACATAAGGAGAAAGAACCTAAGAAATGAAGGCTGGTGAAGATTTTCATGCCTCAGAGGATGCTAGAGTGAATATGTTTGTGTTGATATGACCTATTTTCAGCCAGTGATTCCTATAGTTTTGAGGTTGTCAACCAGGTAGTCTACACCTCCCTACGCTGTCTCTCCCTATCAACTGAGGCTTCATTAACTGGTGCCACATCTTGGTCTGGCCGCTCCGAGCCTTCCTTCGACCCCATCCTAATTTGCCTAACACTGTACATCGATGTGGGCGGTGCCTCAGTATGCACGACACATATCCAAGCTGCCTTATTCGGTGAAGGTTTACAACCTCGACCATTGAATTGTTTTCCTCGCCTAGTATCTTTTGCCTAGCTTCCAAACTGACCACACGGTGATTCTACCATAAGTGAGCATGCTGCGAAGAAACCTGTGGTTAAAAACTTGTAGTATCTCCACATCTATCTTTAGTGGCCATGTCTCACAGCCGTCTTAAAAGGAAAGAGCAGACTAGCCCAATAGATAGTCGGATGCTTCGTCAGCACCAGCGATTACGTAAGTTGACAGGTCTTAAACACGTCTTCTGTATCCGACCTGGAATTCCATCAACAACCAGCCCATTTAGGCAGATACAGCACCTGAAGAGTGAGTGAAGTAATCAACACATCCTACCACTTTGCTCCTTATCCTCAAACCAAGTGTTGGTGCACAACAGTTCTGAAGCATCATCTTACACTTGACAGGTGCGAGATGCATGCCAAACATACTCAAATTTCTGTTGAAGACGTTCAGAAGACCTTGGGTCTTATCAGCGTCTTCACCAAGCAGGATAGTGTTCTCTACACGTACTCCAAGTCGATAAGATGCGTTCCAAGGAACGGGTTAACCTATGTAAAGTCGGAGGTACTTAGAGTTATGTCTATTAGATGTTGTGTAACGAAATTACACGGGAACGGTGACAGTGGACATCCCTGTCGGGCACCCCTGGTTGTCATCATTTCAGATGATAATTCTCTGTAGGGTCTGACTCAACTGCATGAATTCGAGTAGAGAACTGTCATTGGTGTTAAATACTTGCCCTATAATCTATTTACAGTTAGACACTGCCACAAAACCTCTCGGTCGAAAGAGCTGAATGCCACTTTCAGGTCGAGAGATGTGGCGAGTGTCGACCACTATCAAGTATCTGAGTGTTGCAGCAGAACCGGTCGAAAGGTGAATATCTATCTAATCGATGCATTGTCACTCAGGTTTGATACCGGCCTCGTTTTCTGGAGTTTGCTGCCCTTCAGCTAGAGTTAAGCATTGGATAACGATAGACCCAAGGATGGAGGACAAGATGTTAATCAGACCAAATACCCTTATGATTGTCTCTAGTAAAGTTCTTTCGTATAGCGTGGGATGATGAGTGATGTTGGTCAGTCTGGTTGGTGTGAAAACCACTGATTTCCGTACACTATGTAGTACCTCCGTTAATGTGCCCAGTAATTTCTCACTACTTTTCTTTGAAACGTCTGGTAAGTAAGCGTCAGGTGCTGCTGCAGTGCCTCATTTCGGTTTTGAAGCAGCCTTTCCAACCTATACAAATTTGGAGGACTGACATCTATGTGCTGTTTAGGTTTGTGCTAGACACTGGATGACTGAAGTGTGGCTATTGACATCTCGAAATATTATCTAGTAAAAAGTGTCAAATAAATTAGTGTGATACGCAATCACATCCTACCGTAGTTTCTTGGTCTTACACCTAGAGGTTTTACAGCACTTTCATCTACCAATTATGTTGCAGTATAAGAATAGAACTCTAGTGGGATATAATTTCGTATTAAATTTGTTTATTTGACGTGGCGCATAATAATACATTATTAGGTGTTGGATACTATATAGAACACAGTTTATTGTTCATAGTCATATCAAGGTTCTCATACAACATGTGCCTTTTTAGTTTTGTCTCTTGTCATCTCGGTTTCGATGACACTAGAATTCTCCGTATATCTGGAATAAGCTTTGTGTTATTCTCATAGCGTTCTTTGAGAATGGACTTGATGAAGAAAGGTTGGGTAATCGATCACTCTCTATCCACTTGTCTAGGTTGGTCTTAAGGATTGCTATTCTATCGTAGCCTATCGTGTAATTGTGTACTGCTGTATATGTTGCAATAGTCAAGCTTTTTCAAAATTACCTATTCGGGTCTCTCATTCTAAATTTGGCGTAGTTCACTTGCTCTACTAACTTGACGGACCTTGGTTAGCTCGTTTGAACTAGGTGTTTGGCCTCACAATCATTGCATATTGTTTAGTATAGTGCATCAGTTTGTGTGATTGGGTTACTAGAATCCTCTGATTGAGTTTGTAGGTTCGAATACAGTCATAATTTCCACCTTGTTAAGAATTCTACGTAGTTTCTGATTTTTCTGTTTTGTATAGTGACACTACGGGAATTGTTAACTTCCCTCTTAGTTGTGTTTCAGCCACTGTTCACATTACTACTAATTCTTATCTGATCTGTCCTTGTGAATTTCGTGACAAATGCCCTCGGAAATATGCTAAGTAGTAGGGTTTCTTTACTGTCTTATTTCCCTATGTAGGTTTTTTGATTTACTGATGAGATTTTCAGCTCAATTATTCAAACACGTAGTGAAACTGGCTTTAATAAAATTTGAACGAGCTAACCTGACCTAAATATCTGTTGAAATATGTTGGTTTTCTGTAGACAGTAGTGTATTAAACGATGTCTTTTCTTCGTTTACTTTTTTCAGCCTAACATAGCTAATTTTCCTTGTTTATTTTCTAATTTGGGGGTGTTTCAGAGTGCATCTATTGTTGAGTGTATATGCATGAAGAAGCTAGAGGAATCTTCTGATTTCAACATAGTAATGAATCGTTTTCACAGCTACACAATACCTTGTGTGTAGGATTAACTGTCCTTAAAACCATGCGTTCTCGTCTGTCCACAGACATGTCTATTATGATCAGAAAATCGCTAATATCCCCGATTCTTGATATACTTCCTAATCGTTTAAAGTTTTCTGTTGATAATTTCTCCTGAATATCTCTTTTAAATTTCAGAATGTCTGGCCAACGGTGATGATGAAATTGGTGAGGCGTATTTATCGGAAAAACCAATCGATCAAGCAGCTTTAAAAGCTGCTGTACATAGAGCTACAGTATCACGACAATTTGTCCCGGTTTTAGTTGGATCAGCATTACGTAACCGTGGTGTACAGCTACTGCTTGATGCTATTGTGGATTATTTACCTAATCCTGGCGAAGTTAGCTATCATGCTTTGAATGAAAGCTCTGGGTAGGTGTTTTTAGTTTTTATAGTGTTTGGAGTAAGTGGAAACCGAAAGGAAGTTATAGTGACAAACAAATGCTCCATAAGAAGTTGAAAAAAGTGTGAAGCATTCATAAACAGCTGGTTTAGCCTAGTTTATGACCGTTTGACATTAGTTTCTCTGGACGACTTTGGGAGTCATACAAGTTGAAATGGATGACATATAGTTATCTCAATCGTTGATCGGGTCTTAGATTCAGAAGTAGAATTAATATATAAGGGTAGGATTCGACCTCCGTGGTAGAAAATAATTCCATTTTGGCTCTTTTATTATATATATATATATATATATATATATATATATATATATATATATATATATATATATATATATATGAGACAGTATTATTTACTGGATTCATTCAAATATTACTGTTTATTCTGTTTACCTTTGTGATATGTAGGATATAAAGACATAAATGAGAGTTAGGTTGGGTTGAAAGGGAGCTAAAGGCGGTCAAATCAAGCAGTAGCACAAGTTCAAAAGATTCATATACATATTCCTCCTTTGTGAAGTTGATTGGAGAAAGAGAACGACTGAGCATGGTACCATTGTATTTCGCCGGCTGGATGGGAACAAACTTTTTGGCAGTTAAATGAAGCTAGTCAACAACGAACGACATGGTTTAACAAAGAATATAAACATCCAAATAAAGTTAACATGCATACTAATAAGCTTCAGTTATATATATGATTCAGTAGAGAGTTCAAGAAAATAATATGAATAGTAGTAAAATACCACGTAAGAAAATACCAAGTCGGCTAGTTCGTGACAAATATCAGACAAATTGTATAATATAGTGGGTTTAACTAACTCGTAAGAACAATCGTCAAAACTGTGTACAAACAGAAAAAAAGGTTTAGCCAAAAGATGATGCCATCAAATAAGGCAAAGAGTAAAATACTAAGTTGCTAGGGCTAAAAGAAGACTTATCACTGCTTCTTTTCGAACACTCAACTCCGGTTTCAGTGGTTTAATCACCATGGCCTCAGAGAACTTGAAAAGGTTGAAACTACATTGTTTGTTGATCACCTTGAAGGATTCTGCTCCAGTCGTTATTTTTTCTCTATTCAAATTCAAAAAGTCTGACTGTTTTGATCTATACCGTGTAGGCAAGTGTAGGCTGCTTACATTGGAATCTCGGGATGATGTGAATCAATGATTACAGACTCATTGTCATCTTCGAAATTTTGAACGTTTTTCACTAATCTTCTTCTACGTATTCCTTCTCTTCATATGCACTTCTACCTACTTTAATTTCATTGTTTTTCTATTAACCTATTCTTTTTATGCTAGATTGAAATATGGCAGCATGAACCGATGCACTTTTGTGCAAGGGTCCACGTTGATTTATCCCTCTCCTTTTAGATTCGAGCCCTTAGCACAATAATTAATATTGTGCTTTCTCAGGTTTCATCTAACACTGCACATAAGTTTCAACATTTTGGTATTCCTTAATCGCTAATCGTTTCTTATTTTATACCAGTGGATGCTGCAGACTCATAGTAGACTATTTATCGATAATGTTTAGATAAGTGATCTGGATACTCAGTTTTCAACGACTCAGAAATGAACGTAACTCTAGTTTTCCTATATCTCTGTTGATAAAGACGTGGGTGAAGTCATCAACGATAGGCATATTTCCAGCCTATTGCGTAAGGAGGCACACGGTTACTTTTGCATCATTTCACTAGTAGTAATTAGCTTATCCATTCGACTTCTGATCGATCATATTTGTCAACAGTGAGTCACGTGGTCAATCATTTATATCTAATATTGTCTTCAGTTTTCATGGTATCACTGAGTTTATTGATTCTTAGCCTGAGTTTTGTAGAAAAGTGTTTAGTTTTACTTTTTTGAAATTTGTGAGTTATCAGAAACCAAAATGTTATATTCAGTAGGATTAGACTTTGATTAAAACATCACAAATCCAATCAATTTTTATCTGCTTAGTTTTGAATAACTTGCTACACTGTCTTACTCTGTGGCCGTTTGACATGACCATTGATGCTGAAAGATTTGTGACAGCTTAAAGTGCTGAATCGTCAAAGCGTTTTTGGTACCTCTAATGGTGGTGAATTATGCGAGTTTAGGCTTGTGTTAAATCGATGAAGGTGTTGAGCCATTTAATGAGATTGTAAGCGATCATTCGAGGTGGCTTAGATTTGTATTATAGTACATGCCAATTCACCACGTACCTTGATGCCCAATTTAACTGAAGTAGGATTAGATTAGACAGTCGCTAAAGTGTATCAAAACTAACATATGGCACCCGTTGATGAAGCCCCTAGTTGTTGATTCGAGTCGTGTAGAGCAATACAGACTTCTTGGTTAATATCCATATAACAACTGGTATCGATAGTCATAGACCATGGGTAATATGTTTCAAAATTGACTGCCTTTGTGTAAAGCGTATTCACACCTTATTTGAATCTTGACCATCCTCTCAACTTTCGTCATCGGCTCTAACTCTTGTTCTTCTGTGTTTCTTTTGCGTATGCTTGTCATGTTATTTGACTTTCTTTGTTTGTCATCTTAGTACTTTATTATTATTTGTAGTTTGGGTTGCTGGTGTAAGATTGCTCTTCAGTAGCAGGTCGCTATTTCACTCTGTTCTCTTCAGTCTTTTTGAAGCTGGCTCCATGACTGCTCAGAAGGTTTTATTTCTTCCTCACACGATCTCCTGTATGTGACCCTCAGACACCCAACTCGTGGTTTTCCCTTTGGATTGCACTGGAGAGCCTGACCTGGCGCATGATGTCCCCGAATGTGTGTGTGTGTGTGTGTGTGTGTGTGTGTGCAATCCATTCGATCTCCACTTTTTTCTGCATATTTGTTGGTCGATGGGTTGTTGGTTGGTTTGTTGGGAGGCCAGAGTTATTTGTTGCTTATTCTTATTATTGTGGAGTGAGTATGGAGTGAGCGTAGGTGTCAGCTGTTGATGTGATGAATGTCTGTAGTTTGTTGTAAATGGTTTTCGTGAGGCGCTAAGTGTGTGAAGCATCACATAGAAAGAAGTACTGAGTTGACTGAATTAGTGTTTGAAATCCGGATGTTGTTGAGGCTTTATGCTGAGTGGAGTGGAGTAGATGTGGACACTGATTTGATTATTTCAGATTAATGAAGACCTGTGTTGCTGTGTTTCGGATCGTTGGTTTGACGTGCTGATGTGTGCCGCGGCCAGGTGTATTTGAGAGGAGATGTGGAGTGTGGGTGTCAGAGGTGAAAGAGACAACTTGGTTTAGATTCCTGCCGTTGATGGTGATTGGTGATTGGTGTTTGTTGTTGTTGGTTGTGTATCTTGATCACCTACCTACTTCTGTTTTGTCTACGTTCACCTGAAGGGAATGGTGTGTTTGCTTCCCCGCTTCGCTTCGCCTCTTCTGTCAACTTGTTAGTTTTTGCGCGTATATCTTAGAGTTTGTGTGACAAGACATTAGAGATGAATCATCCTGATCATCGGGGAAATGGAGATCTTCTAGGGTGTTTGGATCGGTCGAGCCAGGGTATGGGTCTCTTCTCGCTCGTCACAGTTAGTTGCATGATCCAGTGTAGTGTAGTGTGGTGCAGTGCAGTGTAATGTAGTGTAGTGTAGTTTAGTGTAGTTCAGTTCATTTGAGTCGACCACAATCAGGAAGCTGATCGGTGATAGTAGGTGGCAACCTTGTCTTACTCCTGTATCTTAGTGCTTAGGACCTGGATATGCTAATGTGATTTGTAGAAATGTGAACAGTTTTTCAGCGATTCTCAGTTGTGTGGTGCACATCTTTCTCTTTCCTAAAGGTATTAAAAGGGGATTGATGCAATCTTATACGAGAGCTTGTTTGTATCTTCATAAAAGCTTCAATCAGTGTCTGGTCAACTATTATATACTTTTAATTTTTGGATTTGATTGTACTTCTTAGCTGTCCTTATTTTTAATGCCTTTATGTTTCATATTTATATCACTGAATATAATATGTAGTATTCTCCTTCATGGTCTTTTTATATATTTCAACATTTTTAGTGAAGCTAAAATTGTCCCTTTAAAACCACAGCGATCTAGTGAAAATCCATTTGTAGGACTTGCTTTCAAACTAGAGGTTAGTAATGTTAAAAAAAATATATAAATATTTTTTACTTCCAATTTTATAATTAGTATTTATTTACTTTGTATGTTTCTGAAATGGAAATAAATCCTAGTTATAGTGTGAATTTTTATTACACATGTTAATTTCCTGATCTTTTGGCAAGTAAGTGTATTTAGTTGAGTCTGAAATTTTGTGAGTTTTTAATTCAATGGTTTAGCCAGATATCTGTAAGCGAAAGGGGTGACAAGTTTTTATTCCGTTCCACTTATACCGATCTCATGTATAGTAGATATAATCAACTGTATTTGATGGGAAAACTGTATCTCATCATTGAGTTATCCCCATTTTCTTTGCATATTTTTTGTTGTCGACTCATAAATGGCATAATTCAATCAGTTCCCTTGCAATTTATTCACTCTTGTGTCACGGAATTTCAATAATCTAGTTGAGTATGTACTGAGACTTCGTGCGGTGTAATAGCATTATAGATTGCAATACGATCTGTACATTTTGGTCTGTTATGAAGAGTACTTAGTAAGAATTTATTAGTATCAGGAGTCGGTGAGATGGACAACATAGAAAGTAAGGAAACGCTATAGGTACAATGAGTTTGAAGTAAGACAGCGTATACTTTTGAGCCCCGGAGTAAGTGTAATGGGAGCTGATATTGATGATGGCGATTGTTTTGCTAATTCTCTCTTTAGATAAATAGAATGTATATAGGTTTCTGCATGATTTATTTTTCAATATGTTACTCTATTGATCGCTTGTCTGATCAGTTTGGTCGGCTGGTTGGTACTTCTTTTTAATAATTGGTCACCTTCTCCAGTTTGAATTAATTATTGAACAACTGGCTATTAAAGACATTTACGTCGACTATTCTAGTTCCTTAATTTAGTGGGTACTTCTTTTAAAGTTGTACTAATTATGCAGGAATAGTGTTGAATATGCTATCTCCACTACCCACAGACTAGGGGAAATCTATCTAAAGTACCCTTTTGTGTAGCCGAAAACCAAACTTGTACCTTTTATGTACCAACAGCTAAACTAGTTACATTGTACAGCTTTTTTTCCTCCAAAAAATGGATAAGTGAAAAAGGGTGACTGCTCTTTTTCTTTGTGTGCATTAACATCAGTGGATTTTAGTCCGATATGGTTCCAGTACGGGGAAAAGTAGGAATGTTATTGTGTAGTCAAGGAAACATGCCAAATAACAACTTACCGATCTTTCAACTACTAAACAGTAGTCACGATAAAGCTTTGAATGGCATAATTTTGGTTTATTTTTTCTTAGGCAAATAAGTTTGGTCAGCTGACCTACATACGAATCTATCAAGGCTGCCTACGTCGTGGTGATACTGTGAGAAATGCTCGCACAGGTCGTCGTATCAAAGTACCTCGTCTTGGTCGATTAAATGTCGCTGAACTGGAAGAATTGGAAACTGTTTATGCTGGAGATATCGCAGCACTTTTTGGTGTTGAATGCGCATCTGGTGACACTCTCATTGATTTGCATATGAAAGAACCGTTAGCTATGGTAAGTTGTAACAAGAGATTGATTGTGATGTTACTTTTTGAATTGGTAATGAATGTTCTGCGTTTCACTTTCAAGCTAGAAAAACCACCAGGGCTAGTCTTAATTCTATGTTGGGGAGTCAGAACAAACGTTTATTCAAACCATTGTCATTAGTTACAATTTGAAGGTATTATTTTAACATGTCAGTTAAAAAAAAAACTGCGATAAAAATCCTACATTGATTTCGGATAGAAACACTGTTAACAGTACAGTCGAAAACTGTCTCCAAACGAGCCAAACGCACATCCAGTGTTTGTATCACACTGAGCTGGCTGGCGAAACCTACAGATCAGCCTGAGTTGTTTCTAACTACTCAAGTTATTTAGTAGTGTATTCTTCAGTTCATGACACTTTCATATCGGAGATGACACCTTGTATTCTTGAATGAGTTCACTTTTCTTGCAGTACGTCCGTAGTTTATATCCTGCGTCACCTAATTCGGTCTGAACAGCTGAGTGGTATCATAAGCTCATACTTGAATAAGAACAAGATTAAGCTTCATTTTATATTATTTACCCCGCTTTTTCCTTGAAGATACTATACACCATTAGTTTCACATTAAAATTTTCAAATTTCCGTAAGTGAAGCTTGCATATTCATCGTTCTGACTTTAGCACTGATCATCTGATCGCAGCCTTTTGCCAAATTCTCTTTCGGAGACCATATAACGCGGGTTTCGGTAAATGAGAACATTAAAAAAACTCATATATCACTCTCCGTCTTCAAGGTCAGGGTATTGAAGGTGTTAACTATGCTGATAGTTAAACAAGAAAAGTTACATATTAAATGTAGGTTTAGTCGTGGTTAGAGGTTAAATTTTAAACCTGTTCTTCTTTTTACGTGGCACATTTGCGTAGTCATCGTAGGTTTGTCTTGTTGTTGATATTTTGCTCATTAACATCAAAAATTTAAACATTTTCACTTATCTTTACTGATTCATTTCCTCTCCTCTTAAACCCCTTATTGTGCCACTGCTAGGTGTGGCAACTTGAAGTGTTCTGTTTTGTTACTATCTCTAGTTAATTTTGGGTAGAACAAGTCAGTTAACTTGTTACTTAATTATTCGTGAATTCGTTTCCTGCATTTCTATGAGAACATCCATCGTATCTGCTAAGCTAGTGTTTTATGCTGTTATGGCTCGTTACCTTAGGCAGTTGACTTTCAGCCTATTGGTCATGGGTTCGAACACCACTCAACCTACTGAGGTTTGTGCAAGCAGGAAGTATTACTGGCCTTTTTGAGATAGTGGGGAATATTTATAGATCAGGTGGATAATCTTGACGGTGTTGTGTTCTCTGAGCTAAACGGTTCAATCGTGGAGCTTTCATTGTCATTCTAGACAACATCATCAGCACAAACTTCACAATGATGTGAGCTATGAGGTTTTTCTCCACAAGTAAGATAGTAGCTTGTCCTGATTGCCTTGTGTTCGATTGACTGTTTCTGACAAAGTCTTTCCCTTGTCTCCTTATTCATTTCGATTGGTTATCCTGTTGACGTGTAGTTTGACCTTATTTTTTCTTATTTGTTGATAGGTTGGGTCAATGACAATATGTCTATAGATTACTGATTGACCTGAATCCCCTAACATTTTTTGCATTTCCTCTATCCAGTGTTTTCACGTTTTCCCAGTCAAATTCATGTAAACAGTTGTCTGTATCCATTGACATGAACAAACATACGTCGTGACGCTTCACTGCTAGTTAATGTTCATGCAGATGGATGCGAAGAGAGCGACCACCCTGCCCGATGTAGTATTTTCCCTAGTTTCCGCACTTTATTTTGTAGATAGTGTTTGGTTGTCTTCCTTTGCCATTCCATCTTTTGGCCTGCATAACAGAGAGTGTAAAGATTTTGTGGGCTTATCAGCTACAGAGATTCCAAAAGGCCTCAATAGTCTGGTCATGATCTCGGAGACGTTCTTCATGTGGGGGAAATATGCAAACCCTGGATGGAGAAAATACAAAGAATGTCAGGGGATTTTTAGATGCTTGGTATTCAGGTCAATCAGTAATCTATAGACATATTGTCATTGACCCAACCTATCAACAAATAAGAAAAAATAAGGTCAAACTACACGTCAACAGGATAACCAATCGAAATGAATGAGGAGACAAGGGAAAGACTTTGTCAGAAACAGTCAATCGAACACAAGGCAATCAGGACAAGCTACTATCTTACTTGTGGAGAAAAACCTCATAGCTCACATCTTTGTGAAGTTTGTGCTGATGATGTTGTCTAGAATGACAATGAAGGCTCCACGATTGAACCGTTTAGCTGAGTGAACACAACACCACCAAAAAGGTATCATTGGCTCCCACAATTTAGGTTTGGCTCATTCCCTACTGTACGAACGTACACAAGGTCGGTGAGGGAGTTAAGTAGTTACTTGTAGTAAACTAGTGTATAAACTTACTCCATTGAAATAACTCTTGAGGCATAGCAGAATTAGATCCTATGTTTCATTAGATTGATGAATGTAGAAAGTTGTTTCATGCATTGATTATGAGCACAATTCAAAACTCCAATAAACGATCCTGTTTCACCGAATTGATAACAGACGGTTAAAAAAAATCAACGCATAGATTCTTGCACAGAAGTGGACCAATTTCAAACCATCACTTTTAAAAACAGCACATTAGTCTGTTTTTATATCATTCAAGTGAAATCGGTGGTTCAGAATCAATTTTAGTGGAATCGCTAAATGTACTCTTCACTTTACTCTTAAAAGGAAATATTCCAAGTAATTTAATCCCCCAATTCCTCTTCTTTTCACACTGCTTTTGATTTGTCTTTCCTTTGAGTTTCTTGAGACTTTTTTAGGGTGAGATAATTTCACACAGTCAGTTTGTTAATCTATCTAATAAAGTCTTTCTGCCTATAGCAGATATCCGTCGAACACTGAAATATTGAACGACTAAGTCTTGCTAAGCAAACTGATTCAGTTCATGTGTTGCTTGTGCACAACACAATGATGTAATTCACTCATTTGTTTGACACATTAATCTTTTCACCTGTCTTATTATTGCTGTTATGTGCGTTAATTATCTTAATTTTTGGATTAGTTCTGAATTGTATAGGTAAATTTTTCTATGACTGTTGTTCAACATGACAGTAACTGAAAATTGTTTGGCGTATACAAAAGGGTTACTTAGTATGTTACTTCACCGTATTGCACGTTTCGAAGAATTCTGACTGTGATTGATACGCATACCAAGCCAGATGATTGAATATAAAAGCCAAATCTGAGTCCCAGCTGGATTCGAACGAGTGGCGTTTGGATTACCAGTCGGTTTATTTGACTGTACAAGCCTAGGAAAACTTAATTTTCATTCAATGTTTGATTTCTTGTGATGTATTATGGGTTGGAATACAGCTGATAACTGGGCTATTTTAGTTGCAAAAGGAAAAAACATGATGCATTCAGTGAAGCGATTGATAAAAAACCTACTAGTTAAACTTATTGAACAGCATAACTCAGCGGCCACCTTCATATTCATGAAATAGGCAAGGAGTTGCACCGACTCCGTGAAGGATATTGATACCACCCGGGTGCATAAATGTCGGTGGGTGAAGAAAGAAAGGCTCGAACCTGTAACTTGCTGATTGAAAATTGGTTGCCTAGACTAGTAAGACGCAGTTCCGCTTCTCATAAAGTTATGGCCTGCGTATCCATATTTGCGTTTGATAGCCACTGTTATCTGCATTTAATTTCTTTCATTTTTCAGGAGTCGATGTTTATCCCAGATCCTGTTGTTTCTATGTCTATTAAACCGACAAGCAAATCTAGTGTCGAATCATTCAGTAAAGGTTTAGCTCGGTTCACCCGTGAAGACCCATCATTCATTTTTACACAAGATCCTGAAACTGGTGAATCGTTAGTATCTGGCATGGGTGAATTACACTTAGAAATTTATGCCCAGCGCTTAGCTCGTGAATATAATGCTCCGTGTATATTGGGTAAACCTCAAGTGGCATTTCGCGAAAGCCTACGTGAACCATTTCAGTAAGTCCTTCTGATCAGATGTCTTACGGTAAAATTATCTATGTAACTGGTATTTTTGATGTTCTTGAGTTAATACTATTTAAGATGGGTTTATTTTCTTTGATGACCATCAAATTTTTAATACTGTTACTCTATTGGGTGATACCTATCTCATTGTTTGTGAATATTTTTCCAGGAAGAGGGCCTTCGCGTTTGTTTAAAGCAATTCTTAGGACAGCCAGGCAAATATAATTCTTAATATGTTCCAACTATTCTGTCAACAGGTAGGTGTATAGAGATACCCACTGGTAGTTAGACTACTGTAGGAGTAGAACTTGAGTACTGTGATAATGTATAACTAATTCTATGTAAATCTATTTATGAGATAATTTCACACAGGAAACTGTCTATTGACTTGATAATATTCGATATGCAGTAAATAATATTGTCTCACTGTACGAAATATCTAAAAAATAAATTAGCATGGAATTCAGTTGGATTAATGGTGAAGTTGTGAGTGATTGGTCTAGAGACTTGATTTCCAACCGATTGGATCATGGGTTGGAACTCAGCCCATCTATTGAAGTTTGTGCTGCCAAGTGGGATCATTAGCCCTCATGCAATAGTGTAACTCATTGCCTACTGCATAAACATGCATAAGATTGTTAAGCGGATCTCGACTTTCATTTACTTATTTATTTATTCGAAATCTGACTCATACAATATATACAAGGTAATTTAGTTATTGTGTACTTGAGTTTTAGCAGTTTAAAGATGGTAAAGGCATATTACTTGTGGATTGTTGGAAAAAGAAGAGTGAATATGTCTATTGTAATGAGCCTTGGTTAGGTAGAACTAAATGTAACTCATAAACTTCTCGGGAGATATTCTTTGTCATGTTTCGAAAGGGTTCTCATAGTGAACTCCAGATAACTGACTCCATAGGAACAGTTGAATTTATAAGTACACGTATGCATGGATATATAAAAAATCCCATTTTTCACACTTAGCGGTAAGATGCATTTGTTACTGAAGGTCACTCTCACAGTGGTTGCAAGAAATATCTTCTGCAATGAGCGTCGAAGTATGTATGCAGTGGAATTTGTTCTTAAAATGAATTTTGAATGTTTACTTCTTACCACAGTGGAGATTGATGTCCATTCTCCTTAATGAATTTTAATTAAGGTGCATTTTGTCTAAATGTATCCATTAGATTTTGTGGCTGTTTTTAATCGTAGTTGTAGAGCAGGTTCTTCTTGTTCTTTCAAGCTAGGTTCTTTTTGTGTCACAGTGATCATCATCATCATCATTATCAACATAGGACCAGGCATTACTGCGTAACGGTCCGAGTTGCCACACCTCATATCAGCACATCAAGTAAAAAGGTAGTGAGGTGAAGGATGAAGATAAGTGAATGCAGTCAAAAGAAATATAAAGTACGAGAAGAAAGGAAAGAGGAGTGACAAAATAGTGAGATTCGGTATAGCGTTGTTAAGATGAGGATAATGTGTGTATACATCTGCGCCACTGACTTCGGTTCTGAGCCATATCACCTAGGGTCTCCAACCACTGGTTCCTCTTGTCCCGTGGACCCCAACCACCTAGTCTGCATCGTCCTACATGGCTTAAACCAACAGTCAGAGACTTCATACATTGGTGCCATGTTTTAGTCTGGCCACCTCGGGCCTTTTTCCAGCCTGAACCCACCTCAGCCAACATTGTGTGACGAGGCAATCGGTGACTAGGCATACGTAGTACGTGTCCCAACCATCTCAGTCGATGAAGGTTCACAACCTCGTCAACTGACTTACCTCTTCTCCCTAAAACTCTACACCTAACTTCTGCATTACTCACATGGTGACACCACGGAATACGTCCTATACTACGAAGGCAACGGTGGTCAAATACCTGTAACCTTCTCATGTCTTCCACTTTCAATGGCCATGTTTCACAGCCATACAGTAGAACAGAGCGGACTGCTGTGCAGTACACGCGACCCTTAATAGACAAACGAATATCACGGCGGCGCCATAGGTGGCGCAAATTGGCAAAAGCCAATCGAGCCTTTTGTATCCGTGCAGAAATCTCATCGGCAACTAACCCACCGGAGTTGATCCTACTTCCCAGGTAAGTGAAGTGGTCAACACACTCAACCACTTCACTCTCTATTGTTAACCGCGGTACCGCTGAAGACCAGTCCTGGAGCAAAAATTTGCATTTGGGTGGTGAAAATCGCATCCCAAACATTCTCAAATTCCCACTCAAAGTGTTCAGAAGACTCTGCATCTTGTCAGCGTCTTCACCTAACAGGACTATGTCATCTGCATATTCTAGATCTAAGGAAAATTCACCTGTGATCAGGTCAACGTCTTTGTAATTAGGTGACGAGAGGGAAACCTCCATAAGAATATCTATGATAAAATTAAATAAGAATGGGGATAGTGGGCATCCTTGACGGACACCACTTGATGAGTATAGCTCCCTGGACAACTCACCATAGGCTCTAACATGCCCACAAGTGTTCGAGTAGAGAGCTTTCAATAAGGTGATGTACTTACTAGGCACGCCTTTCAGTGACAGACACTGCCATAAGACTTCTCGATCAACGGAGTCAAATGCCGCCTTCAGGTCGAGAAATACAGCTATTGTCGGGCGTCTGTAAGCATGCCTATGTTCCAGGACCTGGCGCAGTGTGAATATTTGGTCGATACATCCACGGCCAGGTCTAAAGCCTGCCTGGTTTTCTCGGGCTTGCTGTTCCCGAGCTCCACTCAGGCGTCGGAGAATTATAGAACTTAGGATCTTAGACACTATGTTTGTCAGGCTGATTCCTCTGTGGTTATCACAAGAGGACTTCTCGCCTTTCTTGAAGACTGGGATGATGAGTGACTTAGACCAGTCGGAGGGGATCGTATTTGATTCCCATATACTGGCTAACACTTCCGTTAGCCTGACTAAGAGAACTCTACCACCATTCTTGTATACCTCAGCAGGTAGTCCGTCTGGTCCTGCTGCCCTTCCCCGTTTCAGGCTACCTACCGCTTTCTCAACTTCTTCTAGTGTTGGGGGACCTGTCTCTATGTCCCATTCAGGGTCCGACTGGATAGCGGGCAGCGCAATGGTGGCTGGAGGCCAGTTAAACTGTTCCTCAAAGTGTTCTGCCCATCGTCCCAGTCGCCTTCCCTGCGAGTGAATCGCCGATCCGTCCTTCTCCGCTATAGCCTCACTAACTGTTGTTGACCATTTCCCCCCAGTCTCCTTAATAAGTCTAAATAACTGTCTACTGTTACCGATCGCCGCTGCCTTTTCCATCTCTTTAGCCTTCGCTGCCCACCACTGTTCACGATCGTTGCGCAGACTTTTCGTCAGTCTATTTTTAAGTTGCGCTCGCTCTTCATTGTACTCAGAGCCTGCAGGGATGCATTCACGTGCATCCATTAGTTTGGAAGAAGCTGCTGATATCCACTGGCTCTTTTTAGCCATTATCTTGGAGTCGGCTACAGTCTTCAGTGCTGCTTTTACAGTAGACTGAAGATGGCACCAAGCTTCTTCTGGATGAGTGACAGTCTTTTGTTCCGATAACTGCCTAGCCAACGTCCCACTGAACGCGGCTTTCGTGTTTTCGTTGTCGAGCTGTGTTCGTAGTGATTTTATTGCCAAATGTTTCCTTCATCCACTGAGACGCAGGTATATATGTGCTCGGACCAACACGTGATCGCCATCCAAACACGTACTCCGGAAGGAGAGGCAGTCTTTCACCGATCCTCTCCAGTGACGACTAATAGCAATGTGGTCTATCTGCATCCATCGCTGAGTTGAGCTTGGTGGATGTCACGTCAGACAGTGTCTTTCCTAACGTCTGAAATTTGTGCTAGCTAGAAATGGGGGTTTACCTGAGCACAGTTGTAGTAGGCGATCACCGTTATCTGTAAGTTCAGCCGGGATTCCGAAAGTGCCACCTAAGTGCCTTTCTGCCTCACTCAGTCTACCCACCTCTGCATTGAAATTATCTACAACAACCACCACGTCCGAAGGTTTGGCTTTCGAGAGGAGGCTAGACAGTTTTCGGTAGAACTCGTCCTTCACTGCAACTGAACTGCAGTTAGTGGGTGAGTAAGCAGAGATTACAAAGAGATAGCGGTGAGTTTCACTATTCATTTTAGTTTTCACTGTGCCGTTCAGACGGATAACTTAGAGGCAACTATCAACTGGGATCCAGTCCAGCAGTGAGTTTTCTGCCCTAGTGATTAATGCCATGCCTACATGTGCAAGACAGCGAGAGCTAGCTATCGAATCTACAGAAACTTAAAGGGTGAATTTTGCAGATTCATCAGGTTGGCAGGGAGAGGTCAGGTGGACAGTCGCACTTGGGACCTGTATGCAAGTCTCACAAACACAGCACACATTCATGGCCCGGGTTGCTAGAGTCTTTGCCAATAAAACCTGCTGACCAATTTGACAGAGGGTGAGGACATTGAAGGTCCCAATGTGTAATTTGGAGCGTGGTTTAAAGAGACCAGGGATGGTGTTCTGTGCATTCACTATTGTCAAAAGCTGCAGAGCCAGGAGAAACTGATGGTGATGTAGTATCGTTAATTGAGAGACGTGAAGGTAGTTTAGAAAGACATGATGAGGGAGGTGGATAGCAGTCTGAAGAAACTTGAATGCTGACAGAGGTTTGAGGCCGGTTCACACTTCCCGACTGCCAACACCGTGGAAGGCTATTTCTTCTTAAGGTAGATGAGAGAGATTTGTCTGATCGCAGAGACCATCGAACATCTGCTTGAGGCCCGTCACATTCAGCCTTTTGTGTATGGTCGTTTTGAGCTTTTTTGTTTTGTGGCCGGATGGTCGAAAAGAAATGATAAGTGAACCAACACCGCCGGCCCAGCAGACCGTGGGTCATGGTGAAGTGTGTTATTTTGGGGGTTGACCCTTTCTAGCCCACCCTTCCCCTGAGAAAACAGCATCAGCATGGCACCGCTGGTCATCCAAAGGAAACACCTTACTGCTGTCACACCCCACCCAGCTGGCAGCAGTACGACTTCGCCCCCAGACTTCTATCATAGTGTAGTAATTTACACCACAAACGTAACTGCTTTTCGTCTAACCACTACCCAACAGACCTTTCTGGTATGGTAGGACCTCGAGGGAACAAGCGTTCCACCAGCATAGCTCGTTGGGTCATTGTGATATGCAAGCCCGACCACCACGTCAAGGTAGCAGCTATCGGTCGGGTGTGTCACAGTGAAGTGAAACTATGAGAGTATCTATACTGTCCACTGTAAGATAGATCATGGTCAGTACTTTTGGTGATTCCTCTTTAAGCCGTCCTGATTCAGAGGGACACCTAGGGAAAACGTTTCGCTCCAATTTCCCATTTCATCGGAGTAGTGTAGATGAATATAGACTTCTTGGTTAATATCCATATAACAACTGGTATCGATAGTCATAGACCATGGTAATATGTTTCAAAATTGACTGCCTTTGTGTAAAGCGTATTCATACCTTATTTGAATCTCGACCATCCTCTCAACTTTCGTCATCGGCCCTAACTCTTGTTCTTCTGTGTTTCTTTGCGTATGCTTGTCATGTTATTTGACTTTCTTTGTTTGTCATCTTAGTACTTTATTATTATTTGTAGTTTGGGTTGCTGGTGTAAGATTGCTCTTCAGTAGCAGGTCGCTATTTCACTCTGTTCTCTTCAGTCTTTTTGAAGCTGGCTCCATGACTGCTCAGAAGGTTTTATTTCTTCCTCACACGATCTCCTGTATGTGACCCTCCGACACCCAACTCGTCGCTCCCCCTTTGGATTGCACTGGAGAGCCTGACCTGGCGCATGATGTCCCAGAATGTGTGTGTGTGTGTGTGTGTGTGCAATCCATTCGATCTCTACTTTCTTCTGCATATTTGTTGGTCGATGGGTTGTTGGTTGGTTTGTTGGGAGGCCAGAGTTATTTGTTGCTTATTCTTATTATTGTGGAGTGAGTATGGAGTGAGCGTAGGTGTCAGCTGTTGATGTGATGAATGTCTGTAGTTTGTTGTAAATGGTTTTCGTGAGGCGCTAAGTGTGTGAAGCATCACATAGAAAGAAGTACTGAGTTGACTGAATTAGTGTTTGAAATCCGGATGTTGTTGAGGCTTTATGCTGAGTGGAGTGGAGTAGATGTGGACACTGATTTGATTATTTCAGATTAATGAAGACCTGTGTTGCTGTGTTTCGGATCGTTGGTTTGACGTGCTGATGTGTGCCGCGGCCAGGTGTATTTGAGAGGAGATGTGGAGTGTGGGTGTCAGAGGTGAAAGAGACAACTTGGTTTAGATTCCTGCCGTTGATGGTGATTGGTGATTGGTGTTTGTTGTTGTTGGTTGTGTATCTTGATCACCTACCTACTTCTGTTTTGTCTACGTTCACCTGAAGGGAATGGTGTGTTTGCTTCCCCGCTTCGCTTCGCCTCTTCTGTCAACTTGTTAGTTTTTGCGCGTATATCTTAGAGTTTGTGTGACAAGACATTAGAGATGAATCATCCTGATCATCGGGGAAATGGAGATCTTCTAGGGTGTTTGGATCGGTCGAGCCAGGGTATGGGTCTCTTCTCGCTCGTCACAGTTAGTTGCATGATCCAGTGTAGTGTAGTGTGGTGTGCAGTGCAGTGCAGTTCATTAGAGTCGACCACAATCAGGAAGCTGATCGGTGATGGTAGGCGGCAACCTTGTTTTACTCCTGTCTTCACTTCACTTCACTTCACTTCACTTCACTTCACTTCAAAGGCGTCATTGTGAATCACTTGTCATGTAGCATAGCGTATAGCTGCTGTTGAATGAGGTTGGTAAAGGTTTGTGGTAGTAAGACCGTAGTGTTGAAGCAGCTTGCTGCCAAATTACTTTTCGGTCGACGCTATCGAAGGCCTTCTCAAAATCGATGAAGTTGAGGTAAGGTGAAGAGTTGACTGGCATTTTATTCTGTGTTCTATGATGATGTGTAGTGTAGCATAGCGTTGGAATTTGATCCGGACATGATTGTTCCTCCAGAAACCAGTCAGTCAGTCAGTCAGCCAGCCAGCCTGTTTCTTTTGTAGTTGTGAATGCTGTGGACCTTGTAGTCAGTCTCTTCAGGATGATGTGGCCTAATATTTTGCCTAGACGTTGTAATGGTACTTGTTATTTCCTGTTTCTTTACGTGATCGAATTGCTTGACCTCTGGTGAGTCGCAAATATGAGAAAATGCTCTTTCCTGATTCGTTTGCTAGTCACCATGATGTTTATATCTGGTTGTATGAAGTTGTCTTTTTAAAATTATTCAGTACATAATTAATTGTTCGTTTTTGTCTATCTTATGAGCAAGTAATGCAATATAGGGAGGAGGTTAGATTCTTTATTTCCTATTATCTAAATATATGATGTTAGGTTGTGCATTTTGATTCAGCATATTTCAGTGATTGCCATAGATCCATTGACAGTGAGGACAGTGTAACATATCTGTCACTTAATGTGAATGTTTGAGTAGTTAATATTCACCGAATCGGATCATATATCGAACGGAATTTCTTTGGCATTTCACATACCATCTTCAGTGCAATTTGAAAATTTTCTCAATTGTAAGCAAACATTAACAAACTGGTGTTCGTCATAAGTTTAAAATTTCACTGCATATAACTTTCGTTATCTTTGTTTTTTCTAGCTTTGACTATCTTCATAAAAGACAGTCTGGTGGTGCAGGTCAATATGGTCGAGTGATTGGTATCCTGGAGCCTTTACCACCTGATTCTTATACAAAATTGGTATTTTCTGATGAAACAGTTGGTACAAATGTGCCTAAATTTATGTTCCAGCCATTGAAACTGGTTTTCGTAATTCATGCAATGCAGGACAGTTAGCTGGACAGAAAATTACCGGCGTACGCTTTCGTTTACAAGATGGTGATAATCATTGTGTAGACAGTAGTGATTGGTCTTTTCAACAGGCCGCTGAAGGTGCTATGAAGCAAGGTAATTCCACTGTGAAAACGTTATACTTTCGTCTTGATGTATATTATAAAATAATTCTTGCCTAGAATCAAAGACAATGAGAATGCGAAGTCAAGGGAGGCTAGTAACCCATAACTTTTGTGTCTATAAATTTAGACTGTATAAAGGAATCTTGAATGAAGATATTTTAATTCTGTTTTCTGTCTTTTCAGTCTTTCTGTTTATATCGTTACTTTCATTTCTTCTTTTCTCGTCTGTTCGATTTCAACTTGTTTGATTAGTTGTAACTATGTGGTTATGACTAGCTTGGTGGTGCTATCGGTCCGGTTGTGGATTAAGCGTCCCACTATTTTGTTCAATTCCTACTTTAATTTGATAGTTTCGCTTATTATAAGATATCTTGGCGTTTCATAACCCGGAATAGTATACATTAGCGCCAAATATGTTCAGATGAAGAAGTCATTCGTTATGAACCAGTTAACTGATCAGTTGTAGCCTTCCCTGCATCTTTCGTGCGCTATGGAACCAACTGGTAGGAGAAATAGAAGTTAGCTGTAGTGTTTTTAGTGAAAGAAGCAAATCAGTCCATGAGGTTGTGAGGCTTATCGACTTGTGTTAAATGATCTTAGTTACTATCCTACTACTGTTCGCAATTTTAATTGAAGTAGTTATTTATTATTTTTATTACTGTTATTGTTCTTCTTCTTAGTATGCGAACACAAACTTGCTGCAGCAAGGGACCACGTAATGCGCCACCCAAAATAGTACAAGATTATGAAGACATACAGCGATGGAAGTGGAAAAAGGCAAAATAAGAATAGAATTATTAGGAGGTAGTTCAATAAGATACGTTCAAAACAAAGCATCCCTTGCGTTTCAGTAGCAGAAATACAAGGAAGCTACAGCATGACCATCACTGGTTTCCATTCTGAGCCATATCTATCTGATAAGGTCTCAAAACACTGAGTTGTGTTTCAGAATTGATGAGAAGTCTTTCTGACTGTCTGACGAAACCTATCTTTACGACTTTAGATTAAGCCCTTGGAGAAAACAAGTGTTTCAACCACGAAATATGTGATAAAGGATTTTTGTAGAGATAAGTGAAAATGGAATACACTCATTGTAATACCGAAGGAGCGCATTTGAGCAAATACACATTTTCTCCAAAGTTATGCCCGACCAACCATCAAATAATAATTCCCTATGTATACGTAAATCAAATGGTTCAGAAGCAGTAGTCATTTTTACTGTTGATTAAATCTAGATTAAAAACTCGCGAAACTATTATTTCGCGGAGCTTGGACAGTTTATTAATAAAGGGATCAACAGATGGAGGAAGTTAGTTTAGGCTTCAAAAAGATGAAAGCTCATGAATACCAGACAAAAAAAAAGAAATTAGATAAAACCAAATCTCGACTTAAATGGTTACAATAATATGACCATCAAAAGAAAGAACGGAAAGTAAAAGTCAAATAAATAGTAAGTCCTTTGGACTCTTACCCCAAGTGGGTCACGGAAAAGCAAATGGACGCGCTAGCACCTTATGCATATACAATTGTGTTTTCAAACTTTTAACTACAATGACTTTAGCAGCTTACAGAAAAGAGATTTTTACCCTTCGCGATAAGTAGTTATCTTGGAATCACTGAGAAGATGGATCTTCATCTGATATAATAGGACAGGTGTTGTCCGCGTGGGAATGTATGGAGTCAAAAAGGCCTTTTTTATCATTCATCAGCCAAACACAAATGTGCTCCGTAGTACGCTTTGAAAGAGTTATCAGATTTCATCATGGATGATTTACTCCACAGATGCAGTCGAACTTACTGATTCCATATGACATGGAAATATGCGGAGTTTCTTCTTTCAGATGCACTGATAAGTAACCTATTACTATTTTGAAAACTTGACCTGACAGCGACTTCTTGGAGACTCTTCCTCACAGATCATCGTAGTCTCTTCGTAAGGATTTGACTCTGATTATCACTCCTAAACTAAAAGCTTTAAAGATGTTTTTCTTTTGACACAGAAGGATAGACGTCCTATTTATTTTTCATTCCACATTCATCATGATGAAGTGGTTTGGATATCAATTTTTCTAAAATACCCTTTGAGTCCAGTTAGCTCTTTTTCGTTTGTTGTTAAGGTTTTTTTCGATAAATGCTGTCATATTTGTGATGTTTATGGGAAGCTTTCATATGGTCATTTTAAATTCACAAAGATGAACTAGCTGAAATCTCTAAGCGTATCCTTCACATACATGAGACAGTTACATCCCCTCCAGTGAATTAGTTTTACTTGACGTGAATGGTTATACAGCAAACAACAGAGGAACCAACTGCACATATTTCAACCACCAGTCATTTATTATTTTTTCTGCTAGTATGACTTTCTTACCAAAATTCATCGCTGAAAGTAATATGGGCTTCTTGCAAACTTTACTCGTAGGCAGATTAACAAAAATATTCATTATGTCTTTTTGACTTTGTTAGATATGTTGTCACACTAAAGTGGTTATCAAGTAGATATGACTGTTCTTCACCTAAAAATGTTTACTGTCATGAAATTTCCCACTACACCCTCCGATAGCTACTACCTTCAGGTGATGGTCTGGTTTACATATCACAATCAGTCAACGATTTGTGTTAATGCGAACACTAGTTTATTGAAGTCCTTCTATACTATAAAGACTTGTTGGATAGCGGTAAAACTAAAGGCCTCTCCTGTCATAGTGTTAATAACAGTTACGTGGTGTGGTTAGAGGAGTGAAGTCCTACTGTTGGTTCCACCACGTGACAGTGGTGTGGATTTTTATAGCCTGGATTCAACATAACTAAGCTTATATCTCAAACTTTCAAAAAAGCTATTGTTGATCTACATCAAGCTGATGTTCTTCAGCCACTGTGGTTTCACATCACTATTACTAATTTAATTCCATTTTCAGCTGTCTCGGGAATATGTAATCTTCTACAATGTGAGCAGTGAGGAAGTATCAACCGTCCTCAAATTATTCACGCAACTCAATCCCTTCAGATCACTCCGAACCTTACACACTTTAAACGTTTCTGGGACAACTGTACTACAAAATTCTTAACTTTCTCAACCGGAAAGTAATGATAATAATTTGAATACACGGAAAAGTAATCCGTGGTCTCCTGCGACTGTGCTCCACTTCATGTATTGGAGCTTTCAGTGTCTATACCCCTTGTCAATTTGGAAAACAAGCTTCTAAAGTCGAAACTCTTGCATCTCGAACCATGAATGTCTGCTGTTTTTGAGACGTGCATACAGGATACAAAGTTGATTATTTACTTAATCTTACCTAGCCAATTTAATGAGTCAGCAAAATTAACCTACAGAATTTCTGGAGAATCACTGGCTAGTCCTACCACTTTTTAAAATTGTAAATTGGTTGAGTGGTGGGGTGATGACTAAAAAAGGAATAGTGAAACTCGTGGTTGTCTCTTTGTAACCTCTGCTCACCCACCATCTGACTCCAACTCGGATGAAGTGAATGATGAGTTTAACCAAAAACTTTCCACCTCCCTACTGATAGGCAAGCGTTTTGATATTTTGTCGCAGCAGGTGATCTCACTGCACAAGAAAGTAAGTTAAGTCAGATAGAAAGGTACTTGAAACTTGTGAAAGCCTGGTGGAATGAATGGATGACGGCAATCACTTGTCAAAATTGTTCTCAGAGTCCCATTTAATCCTGACCAATACAAAATTCAGACATGAAGTGAAAATTTATCTGATTAGAACTCAACTGACTTTAGTGGACACAGATAAACCACAATTCTTTGATTTATCGCTAGGAATGGTCGATTGAAGCACGATGGAAAACGGTTTAAACGGTGATCATGCTTTGTTTTGAGCAGGCATATGTTTACATCTTAATCAGTGTATAAAAACTATAGCAACATAAACACTCCAAGCACGATCAACAGTAAGAACATCAAGGTTACTTTTAATGAGGAACTGGGTAGACAGCGTTAATACTATAAATGACTTTTTTTAAAATGTTACGAAAGGTCATTTCTACAGGCCCTCAGCCCGAATAGCTCAGTAAAGAGTCCATAAAATCATGAAGAACAGCGGTGGGTGGGAAGACTTAATAGATGTGAAAGGCTGCGATAGTGGTTCTCAGTAGGCTGTTATTTAGACTGATAAAGCAAACTGGGGCAACAAAGGCAAATGGTTAGTGAGGTCATAGCGAAGGAAGATATGTTTGTGATTCACTCGTAAGAAAGACTATTGTGGTGGTAAGTCGAACACTTCAAGGAGTGATCTAAGTTGTATCTAGCTAGTGTTCGGCTTTTCTACATCCATTCGGGTCTTAGGCAGCCTGTTAAGATAGGCCATCCAAATGTTACAGAAATAGAGAAGGCTGCAAATAAGCTTAAACGAGGAAGCACAGCAGGTCCAAATATCAGAGTTGTTGATTCCACTGGCATTCAAGAAAGTAGCTAATTATTTTCGCGGAAACCACAGGGGAATCAGCATGACGAAGATTTTTCTACGATTCTACTTTTATAATGATCAGACACCTAAGTGTTGTTCAAAAAAGATGAACCAGTTAAAACCAGACAGGTTTCAGGACTAGTTTCTGGTTTATTAACCACAACTTTAACCTCCATCTGGTCTTGAGACATATGCACGATTCCTGGTGTCTGACACTATTTGTGTCTCTTGACCTGAGGTAAACTTTCTACTTTGTTGATGGAATAACTATATGAGTGTCTCACTGAAAGTAGTGGGTATACATCATTCTACTTAGGGCGTTATATCGGAAAACCTATGGGTGTTTTAGAACTTGTGCTGAGGTAATAGATAAATTGTGAACTTCAAGGTATACACATAAAGGATTTTCGACACCACTTCTCAGTCTGCCTTAGATATGCTTGTGGATGTATGCCTCTTTTCATTCACTTTACGGAGAGTGAAGCTGCTACAAGAGAATCCTTCTTCGGTCTAGAGTTCATGGATGACTGACTCTTGCTAGGTGATGCTGACAGGATGCA